GAGAGAGAGAGAGAGAGAGAGAGAGAGAGAGAGAGAGAGAGAGAGAGAGAGAAGAGAGAGAGAAGAGAGAAAGAAGAGAAGAGGCCAGCAGGTAACTCTTGAAGAGAGAAAGAGAGGGAGGAGAGGCCAGAGAAGAAGAAAGAGACCAGGGAGAGAGAAAAGGGTCAGAGAGAGATGGAGAGGCCAAACAGTCTTTTTATAGCAAGCCAGGCTCCTACCTGGCTGTTGCTAGGTAACTGTTGGGCAGATCTTAGAAGGAATGCTCACCAATTGTACAAAGAAGATCAAGCTAAGGAGAAAAGGGAATGGCTTTTCGGCATGGGCACTCCTTAGTGGGGCTGCAAGTATTCGTAGCCACATCACCCATGGGCTGGAATCTGCTAGTCAGAGTCTGAGCCTCTCCTGCCAAGTGGGTCAGTGGGAAACGAGTGTTTCTTTGGAATGTGTGTGCTTCTATTCCTATTTCTGATCACCAATTAAAATTACCAGTTGTCATTTTTTTCATATTCTAATAGAGCTTCACCAAAGACACAAGAACCGGGCAAATGCTGAAAGAAAATCTAAACAAAAGGGAGCCAACCCATCCAGAAGACCAAAAACCTGACTTCTCAGAGCAGTGGGCATCTAACACCCTATACTCAAGTGGGATGTAGTCTTCACTCAAGCACTGACACTCAGTCATGAGGTCCGGACAGTATCTCACAGCAAGTGTGGGGAGATGCTGTCTCCTCTCTCTCTGCCCTTGTGTTCCAGCCCAAAGCTATATCCCGTGGGCAGCAGAGGCTGTGTGGAGTTAGCTTTAACCAATATGAGGGAGTGACTGAAGGGAGTGACAAAGGGAAGCTTGGAGATGGTTCCTAGAGGAAACACTGGTGTGTGGTGGTGATGGAGGTGTAGGGGGCTGGGGAGCAGTGGTTAAGAATTTGACTCTGAAATCCAGAACAAAACCTCCTATATTTCCCTAACACCATAGATGATCACCTTTAGCAAGAAAATCAGAACTACAAACTGAGAAAAGGATATATTTTGCCTTTCCTGTTAGATGACAAAAAAAGAAGTCTCACAGAAGCAACTTAAGGGAAGCAGTGTTTATTGGGGCTCAAGGTTACAGAGGCATTTCAGTCCATCATAGTGGGAAAGCCAGGACAAGCTAGGATAGGGAGCTGAGCATTGAGTATGACCCAGCCTTGGAGCTGGACACCGACTCCTGACTCTGGTACACTGGATTCCTGGTTCTGCTATCTCTTAAATCTGCCAGTGGCTGTAGGAAAGGGCCAGCAGGGAGGGTGGTAGGGAGTGAGATGGAAAAATGCTCAGAATAAATTTTAAAAGTACAGACTACTTATGAAAAAAATGCCATATTTTCGAAAGAATTTTCTTAACTTCTTCAACAATCTGGCTGAATATGCTAATCTCTGCTTCTTCACGTAGGTTTCTTATCTTCAGGTCATAATTTTCCCTAATAGATTTTATTCTTTCCTCTCTTTCCTGAGGACTAAGTTTCCCGAGGGCATAGTCCTTCTCCACTATTCTAATCTCCTTCTCTGGTTGATTAGTGTAAATTTTCCTCAGAATCTCCACTTGGTTCTTCAGCCTTTGCTCTGCGTTCTTGTATATGGGATCGGAGAAGTAGAGCCCGCCATTGTTCTGTACCAGGGTTTCTATAAGCCCCATCAGCTCCTGCACCTGCATTTCCTTCTCGGCCCTCTCTGCTTTGTTATCGATGGCCAGGCAGCGGTGGTCACACTCCTTGATGATGCTTTTTAGGTTTGTATGTGAGTCGGCAATGAAGTCGTTTAAGCTCTGGTCCTCCAGATTGTCTTTGCGGGTGAACAAGACAATCATGTACTTCATGACTGCCTCCCCAAAGATAGCCTTGATCCTAATAACAGTTTCTTGCTCTTCCAGCGTGAAGCGGTTCAGTTGCAGAACCAGAATGATGGCGTGAGGACCAGGGCAGGACTGAAGGACACACCGGCTGATTTCAATGCAGGTGGTTTCCAGTTTTTCCTTGGTGTCGAAAAGCCCTGGGGTGTCAACAACCAGGAGGTCTCTCTCATTCCACCTGCAGAATGCTTTCTGACATTTCTTGGTGACAGCATGGGATGAGATTCTAGAATCAAACTTCTTTTGCCCGAGGATGGTGTTTGCTGTGGCGCTCTTTCCACTTCCTGTTTTCCCTACCAGAACGATCCTCAGAGAGTCATCACCGGGCTCAGCCATGGTTTTATGTGGAAGCTCTAGTATCCAGGTGCTTGACTTCGGTGTCAAAAGGGAGAAACTGGGTCAGATAAAGAGGAAACCACACTGACCCTTCTGACCTTCTATCTTCCCCGCTGCAGATCTAAACAGCCTAAGATTTCTGAGAGACTTCTCATCTAGAACACTCCATGCTATATTCTTCCTAAGATTCTAACCCACTGCAGTCCCTTCTCATTCCCTGTGAGGAAAGCACCCACCCAGCTTGAAATCTGGCATTTTACTATCATATTGTTGTATAGATATATTTTTGTTCTAAAACAGATTCAACTTTGTTTTTGAGACATCAGGAATCCAGCGAGAAGCAATTACCAGTCTGTCCTATGAAAGAGGACTCAATAGAACCTGCAATAACAATCTACCCATATGCAGTGGCCATATTTAAAGTATGTCTTTATTCATTTCTGTGTTTTGAGACAAAGGTCTTGCTAAACATCTCAGGTTGACTTTGAGGTCACGGCCTGGATGGGAAGTATCTTAATGTATATAGACCATCTACTGCAGAGACTGTTAGCATGGGAAGATGAGGGTATTTGATAGAAGGTGTGGAAATTGTTTAACTCTTTGCATTATTTAGGGCAATGTTGGTTCTTACTTTCTCAAGCTGAAAATCATTTTTCAAAGGTTCTTGTACTCCAGGGAAATAGCAGATAAACTCTGGTGTTCAGCAAAGTGTTTGGAGGTCACCAGGCTCAGACCTATAGGTGACCGTCCCACCCTAAGGAAAAAGCTAAGAAGCTAATGTCTGAATCACAAGTATATTGTGTGTATACATATTCCTTTTTAGTTTAGATCCAAGTCGATACAGGCAGTGCAATTCAGGGACCATGGAAGATATACAAATTACTTCTCAAACTCCCCATCAAAGTACACAGGTCCTCAGAGCTTCTCAGAACAATTTTACTACATTAAATCCAGGTGACTGGAAAATTCCAATGCTACTCTACTGCTCAGTGTCTAGCGAAAGAAGGAAAGCTTCCCTAAACTTTCTATGAGCAAATAAACCTCACAGGCCAAAGTTGAGAAAGACTGAAGAAAAATGCAAGCATAACTCACATACAATTATCAATGCTGCAAGACAGAATCCCATGGCATTATAAACATCATGACCAAGTGAGATTTTTGTCAGTGGAGTTTCTACAGAGTGCCTGTGCTGAAGAAGAAGAAGTTATTAAGGTAACTCACTAGCCAATATTCACGTAAGAAGACTGCAGGAAACGTAAATTGATGCAAACTTCCTATCTGTTTATTCTTCATTTTTTGTCTCCACCTTATTCATTGGGTCCCCAAGCTAGCAAGTTATTGGGGGGGGGGGGAATATTTTCTACGAAAACTCAGATGTTTCCACCTCACTTTCCCTAAGTATTTGAAGAATTAGCCAACTCAAATAGAGAAAACAAGAGATAAAGAGACATTTTCAGTATCCATAGTAAAACTACAGAAAAAAAAACATTCTTATTGAATATCAGACCTTACCCAACAATCTGTTCCTTGCAAGTATATGGTTCAGGATATGAGTAGGAGCACTGAAGAAATGCCTAAATAATTTCCAAATATAACAGATAATGACATCATGAAGAAAGTGCAAAGGTGGAAGTCACTCCTGAGGGTGATGTAAATACAGTACTCAGATATGAAATTCTCAAAAGTTAAACGGGCATGCACATGCAAAGAATGTAGTGAGGTAAAATGAAAGCACATCTAGGAAATAAGCATCCGAGAGATGCTTGGGTGTCTTATTGACTCTGCCCGCTAAGTGATAGCTGCAGAAATAAGCATGTCAAGAGCTCATTGTAGTGTTTAATCTCCACCACGTAGTAAAAGGAGCCAGGGTTTTCAGAGGAGGAATAAGTTCCTCCTCTGAAAAAAAAAAAAGAGTGTAGCACATACTTCTCTGCCTAGATACAAAAAGTATGTGTGGTATACATTACACAGATGCATAAAGGTAAGGAAAGAGGAACAAAAGAAAGGAGATGGGAACACCGAAAAATATTAGGCAGGTAGAATTTTCATGTGTGTATTAGCAAAGGTCTGAAAGTGCAGTTGCACATTCTATTGATACAGGTATGGGAAAAGCATGGGAAAAGCAGAAACTCTCAGACAGCAGATGGGAAGCTAAGCTACAGGTCTATGAAAGGTCATCACTGAAGTACTTGTCCCAGATATCACAATATCGAATGGGGAGATGTACTCAAAGACACACTGAGAAGAATACAAAGAGAAGAGTGCAGAACCCCATGCTGGGGTCACAGTTACAAATGGCAAAAGCAAGGGATGGTTCCATTTGCCATGACTAGGAGACTGGAGAAGGAACTCACATGCACACAGAGGATGTGCTGTATCCTGTGGGATGTCACAGCAGCACCATTGCTCAGTACCAGGAGGTGGGGAATGACCTCCGGAGTCACTGTCATCAAGACCTGTGTGCTGAAGAGAGCAAGGCTTAAGATCCCCACCTAGAAAAGGGTGTAGCACATACTTCTCTGCCTAAGTATAAAAAGAATGTGTGGTATACATTACACAGATGCATAAAGGTAAGGAAGGGACACAAAAGAAAGGAGATGGGAACACAGAAAAATATTAGGCAGTAGGTCTTGAGGGTAGGCTTCCTTGAACTGACTGTCCTGTAGGTTTAATTTTGGAATGATATAAATATAAATTATAGTTTTATAAGAAGCATATATTAGAAAATCAATTCTCTAAATCAAAAATAAAATGAAGCAAGTGAGTGTGTCTTTAAACACATCAAGTTCACTGAAGATCTCTGCAGAGTGTAAAAAATAAATCAGAGAGAATGTAGAAGTGCCTAAAAAACTTTTTATAATAAAAATAATAAGAATCATGTTGATATTTTTACATCCTCAAATTATCACCTGTGTGAATGCTGAAAGTGCAGACACACACACACACACACACACACACGCATGCACGCACGCACGCACGCACGCACTCGTGAGAAACAATGCCACTCTCACTCCTGGCATCCATGGCTCTGTCTCCTGAGCAGTCAGTCCTCAGTACTATTTAACTCCATGGAATCAGGGAATCCTGGGAGAGTGACAGGCCCCAACTTCATACCAGAAAGTATAGGAAATGACCTGTGACCCTCACACTCAGCTCTATGTCCTAATTCAAACTAAACCGACTGTGAATTCTCTGTGACTTGCGCAAGAGACCTGAGGGCTGACGGTGGGTGCTTGAGACACTTGAAGACGGACACTGTGCTTGGCATCCTGATTGTGATAATAATGACTCTTTAGGTTGTGCGCAAAAGATGCACTTGCACATAAAACTATGTGGGATGTCTACTGTTAACTTTAAAACAATCTGGAGGGAGGGGTGCAGCAAGCAGTGGGCTAGAATAAGCACTAAACCTCATGTTCAGGAGTTGCTATCATCTACCCTCAGGCCCTGACCTTCTCTGTAGATGTGTGGTTTTTTCTCTAGTAACAAGTTAAGGTTTGTGTATGCATTTTCTAAGTACAACTCACTATGTGTTGCTTCAGCACAAATGCATATTTCATGGGAGTGTTTTCTCTACATAAAGACTCAAGGATGGAGAGTCCATTTCTTTCTAATTTGGTAGGTATAGAAACAGTAGTTCCAACACATCCAAACACCACCTCCCCACCCCTGTACTCACACTACCCAGTGCAGGGACTGGAGGCCAAGACCTTCTGACTCCACCACGCCCCTTGTAACCCTCAGAGATCTCTTTCTGCCTCATCCTCTGGTCATGATTCTAAAAGCCAGTGAACATCTCAACAGATGTTCACTGAACCACCCGGAACAGGAGGGGAGAGGACAGCCCTTCCCCCAGGAAGTGAAGAAGGAGACAAGCCCGCCCTAAGCATGGCAGGTGAGGACCACCCATCTCTCAGTTGTATTTTTTTCCCCAAACTGGGAGGGCAATCTCCAGAGACAAGAATCAGAAACACTCATCTCACTACAGTCTAAAGTGGGTCCAGGACACCCAGAGAACCTGGAACTGAGCAATGAACAGAGAAAGTGCTTCAGAAGGATGCAGAGATAGATCAGGGCCTTGACCATTCTTGAGACTCTCTAAAGCCCTGTGAGAGTCCATCAGGGTGGTCCTGGGGACTGCACAGGGTAAGTTCTGTGAAGGTCATTTGCAATGCTAAGTATAACCACAAGTCAGGATTAAGGCATTTGCCACACAATGCCACACAGGGTTAGAGCCACAGCTCAGGGGCAGAGCACTGACCCAGCATGTAAATGGCCCTTTGTTAGAGTCCCCATCATCATGAAAGAAGAAACCCCAGACTGCAAAGCTCACAGGCTCAGCCAGAATTACAGATACAGTGGTCCTTCTCCACACCACATCACGCTTTCAGAGCTCCTAGCCTCCACTCCGGCCCCACACTTTCAGGGTCACAGCTTTTTTCCTGAGAAGTGTAAGGTGGACCTAGACACAGAGTCAGCAACAGGATTTCATCCTGCCCGTGTTGATGGTCCTCAGATAGCCATCAGTGCACTGAGAGTTGATGTGGGGAGCTGAAGGGAGTTAGGATACATTTATACTTGGTGACCTGCCTCCTGGTTCTGAAGATCTGCCTCAGGGAACAGCTTCTCATGACATGGGCAGAGGCTGCCCATCAATCAAGTCTTTCCTGTTATTCATGAGATGATGGACCTCATACTAAGCAGTCCCAGAAGCCTTCCAGGACCTCTCAAGATCATGTACAGAGTGGCTGGGTGCTCCATGCTTGTCACCTCCATCCCCCATCCCACATGCTCTACAGCTTCCCATCCAGCTTACCTTCTTCTGCAGCACTGATGAGCTCTCACACGGTCCTCAAGGAATCTGTGTGCACCACTACTCTTGCTGCAGTTCTGCAAACCCTGAGCACAGAAACTGGAAGGGTGGAGCCAACGCGAATGGTTTCAGTTTGAAGAACAGAGGAAACAGTCCCCTGTTGTGGTGGATGCTTCAGCTTAGCCCTGAGTGAATGAATCCCTTCCTTCTTGTACTTGCTGTGATGTCAAGTCACAGCCAGCGGTTTGGTCTGATGACAGTTGACTCTGAAGACCCCGTTCAGTGGTCCATGTGTTGCTAAGGACACTCCATCATCTGCTGCAGGATTGCATGTTGCTCCTCTTTGCAGGAGTGTGACCCTAATCTCCAAACTGAGAGGAGTCCTAACCACTGATGCAGCTCAGCTGAGCATTTACCACCCTTGAGGATCACTCTTAGCTGGACAGTAACCTCTTGGAAGGCCATTCCCTGTGCTATGTAGCTCCTAACAAATGATTGGTCAGCGTGGAGATATAAAGGCACGTCCTTTGGTGCTGATTTGGGATAGAGCGAGAACTCCACTTTAGCTCCCATGCTCCAACTGAGCTGACTCTCTGGATCTTCTTGACACTTATCACATCCCTGCGTCTTCTGTTTACTTCAGTGTCCTAGAATTCTTGACACTAGAAGCCATCCTAAGTATATTTTGCCATGCATATCTCCATATAACAGCCTGTACCCTAAGAGTGTCAGAAGGTTCTGTCTAATCCTCTTCTCTGTGTGGAAAGCTGAGGGCTCACTTTGGGGGAGAGTCCAGGCTTAGCATTACCAGGGCTGTGGTACTTGAGATAGCCTACAGTAACTCTTCTGGCTACATCATGCAGGGTAATTATTTTAGTCTTTTGAAAAACTGGCTCTGTTTGTGAGTGATTTAAATGTCTACATAACAACCAACTTTATTTATTTATTTATTTATTTATTTATTTATTCATTCATTCATTCATTCATGGTGGTATATACCCAGAAGTAGAACAGCCAGTAAGGTATGTTTATAAGAGTTTATCTTGTGTGATTTGTGTGTGTGTGTGTGTGTGTGTGTGTGTGTGTGTGTGTGTGTGTGTAAACAGGAACAAAATGTTTACTCAGCCTAGATAGGGCACCAGCGAAAGACCACAGAAAGAATTCCAACCCATTTCACTTATTTAGTGAGTTTATTGTGATTCCTTACAAAAGGTTGGACAAGGAGTTACTTACAGGAATATGGATAACTCAAAGGCAGCTGCCTCACTGAAAAGCTCACCCAAAGTGGTATGACATTCATGATTCATGAAAACTGCATTCTTGAGGCTCTCTGAAAAACTTTCCCTCAACCCCTCAGAAGAGTTTTTTCTTTCTAGTGAGTGCTATAACATGCACAAACTTGAGTAGTACCTCCTGAAGTCTTGTAAGTTTCAGGATCTTCCTGAGTCTTGTAAATTTTTTCTTCCTTGGTCCTATGACCTTCCCCCACCCCATGGAAATGTTTAACTTCGATCTCCATAGAAATGTTTCAGTTCAGAGGAAATTGTCACACCATAGAGGTAAAAACTTTAAGACAAGACCAGAAGCCAGGTTACAAGGAAAAACAGAAATCATTCTTCTGTTCAGCAACTCACTCTTGGAAGAACATTCTCATGTCCAGAACTACCTTAATACTTTCTGAGGACACACTCTCAATGACTTAAGAAGCTTCTATGAGGAGTTATCCCCCCCTCCTTTTAATAACAGCGCACACATGCACACGCACGCACACACACACACACACACACACACACACAAACACACATTTAATTGTTCTTATCTCTCCACTACCCTCTCATCCTGCTTCTTCTCTCAATGAAACCCTTCTAGTTCTCTCTAAGTCCCCCTCCTAGTTTCATGTTTTCTCATTATGTATGATACTGAGTTCGAGTAGAGTTGCTTGCATGATAGGTATGGCTTATTTCCTGTAGTTCTGACAGCTCATCAATGACTATACCACTGAAGAAAATGATACCCCTCTCTTCTAACAACCACTTGTTGCCATTAGTTCTTTAGGGAGAGGTGGAGACTCTTAGACCCTTCCCCTACCCATGATGGAATGTTGATGAGTTCAGCCTTC